ACGCTCGCAATCTGGAGTCCTGTCCGCGCCCGTGCGACTCGGATCAAAAATGCCACGGCGGTGTGATAACAGCCCAACATCAACCAGTAACCGTAACACACGCGCGTGAGAAACTAATATTCACGTGGTGTCGCCTACACTTTCTCGCGTGTCCCGTGGGAAATTGGACGGCGAGATGATCTGGCTCGTGCAGCTACGATACGAATTCTATCGTGAGAGCGGTAGTCGGGTACGGCTTCAGTACCGCGGGTAGGCTAGTGCTCAATAGAGAAAATTAGATTGAAAACAGGGACGGCGACACGGCAGGAACGTGGGGAGATGTGCTGCGTTCGATTAGCAACTTCAAGATCCACCATTTGATTATGCAATTGCGAAAAATTAAAAACTTCTATTCTTGCCACGCTACATGAGCCCAAGTCGATGACTCGGCGACGATAAAATAAATAAACATTCGAAGAAAGAATATGGAGGACCGAGGGTGTCCCGTCGATAGGCTCCAAGTTTAAGGCGCAGCTACATGGCGTAGCCTCGTCCATGTCGCAAGCCGCCGAATTCCTGCATGCTTGTCATCGGCAAGGACTGGCGCCAGTTATCAATAAGTGCTTGTACTGCGAGAGGTTCGCTGTTGTGCGGGCTGCAGCAGCAACCTGGAGGTCGTAAAGACAATAACACGTGTGTGTGAAACTAGTGAAAAATGATTGTGCTAGATTTCGTGCCAGCAGCGAACTGTGATCGACGAGATCCTCGACGCCGTCAACTTGCGCACAGAAACGTTGAAGCTCAAGAATTAAATTAAAAACACGTAATAAATTAACCCACGTTCGTGTCCCACGCCGCGTCCTTTTTTACTGGCCTCATTTCGGATACTGCCTCGATTTAGGGCGGGAATTCGGACCTGGCGGGATAAAGCCCTTCATTTGGTGGCAGCAGAAGGTCGACGACGGGAGCGCCAGCATGAACGCGGCCCAGGTAGCGAGCTTCAAGGAGACGATTGACCAGTGCGTCGATACGATTTGGAGCGCGTACGACCGCGACGACAGCGGGTACCTCGACAAGACAGAGACACGCAAGTTCGTCAACACGCTCATCGCCGAGTACGAGAAGGACGGCGACGTCGTGCCGCCCGTCAACTTTGAAGAATGTTTCACCGCCTTCGATGTCGACGGCAACGGCCTTCTGAGCCGAAAAGAAATGCGCATCTTTGTCGAGCAGCTCATGGGCTTCTAGGCATTACGATCCCAAGCTATATGTATGATCGACTCGATTGTGCAGCGTCACCTTCGACTACATGAGGTGACCTTCAATACATATTCACGTGTACCGGTAGTGATGACGAGTCTAAATTGCACCAAGCATTATTAGTTTTGCATACCATTGGGGCTCGCGAGATGCCAGGCGAACGAAACGAAGATTGGCATCGAGGAGAATGGTGGCTGGAGTCATTTTGGGCTGGAGTATGGTACAGGGTTCGATTACTCGTGGCCTCTGTAGTCTTGGTGTACCGGTATTAGTCTTGGCTGCGACTCACAACGCAAGAATGGACGCTGGAAGATGACGCTGGATGCTGCGTTCATCGGCGTAAACTGGCGCTGGATGCTTGGGACCAAGTTCTTTTGACGCGCAGAAAAGTGGCGCGTGTTCTGTAACACTGTTGGAACTATCAACGCATATCAGTTTTCGCTGAAACTTAAAGCACGCAACCTAGCACGGACCCATGCACACCGACTGCACACGTGAAATGGTGCGATGCCACTGCACCCTGCACTGCACCATCCTGCGAGTGTCGCCCCAGTTACAGCTGTACCTACTTCCACCACACTAATACTGTAGTAGCCCACTACCAGTCGTAGGCTCATTTGTCCACTTGCGCGCTTGCGAGGGTCGCTATCACAGCAATAGAGCTAACTTTACCCGAGCTATTGGTATTGCATGTACCGTGAAGTACACCTATAGCACAGCCTCTCGCAACTTCGACGCCAATACGTAAACGTGACGTATACTTTAATTCATCATGGCCCTCTCCGACGGCCCACAGGCGTCATCGCGCCACCAGCACGTTTGGGTGTTTGAAGCCCATGGAAGCTTGCGGCTGTCCCAGTGTTATAACTTGGCACATGGCTGCGTGAGTGCCCCGTCATGAAACAGTACCGCAGAGGCGCGGCAGCCATTCTCACTTGCCTCCAATGGAAGCCAACCATGACGCATGGGAAAGCTTCAAGGAGAGCGGGCACAGCGCGTCGCCGGTGCGCTTTCCCTCGTCCTGTACGCGATGGTGGCGCTCGGCGTGCTCTCTCGCCTTGCGCTGCACGTACGCCACGGCAGTGGGCTCCGCCGCGTGACGTTCCACGTGCTCTTGCTGCACGTGATCGTCGGCAACATTCCGTTCAGCGTCCAAGCTGTGTTTTACCCGCGTAGCCAGCGCTGGATCGGCGCCTTCGTGGCCTCGCTGTTGGCCGACACGCTTCTCTGCTGCTCGCTCGCGATGCTCTCGATTGCCTGGGCCCGCGTCGCCATGGTCGGGCAGTACGCGCACGGCCCCGTGCGCTTCAAACGCTTCATCATTGGTATCTCCG